TTGGTTAAGGAAAGGAGAGGTCGCCTAGTCACTTAATTACTCTTAAAGGCACCCGATCTGTTATGACCGTCATACTAGCCATCCAATTACTACGCAGGTAACTATAAATTGTAAGTCCCACCAACACTTGGGGGGCATCAGACTCATTTGAGCATAATTCTCTCTCTCTCTCCTCTCAAAGCTTGTAATCCTGTGCTCTCCCTCCACACCGGAGATAATAAAATTCCAGTGACCCTTGTCATTCAAAGTGGACGTAGGTCATATTGACCAAACCACTATAAATTTTGTCTTCTCTCTCTATACTTTATTGCATTTTATATTATTTAATTGACAGGTGGTGTGCAAACCAATTTTGTGCATCATCAGTTTGGCGCCGTCTGTGGGAACGACAAAATTCTCATTTCTAAACACTTTATTTGCTGAACTAATGGCGATCACCACCAAATCCATGAATCAGCTTGAAGATAACCCACCACCAAGAGAGGAGGAGGTTTCTTCTCAACCAACCAATCCTGCCCCAAATGCGCAGCAGATGCTCGAGAGCATGCAGCAACTTGCGGCCCAAAACTAGTAGATCCTGCAACTGATGCTCGTTGGGCAAGGAGGAGCACAGTCTAGACCTCAAACTCGAGGAGCTCCATGCCCTAGGCATCAAGGAGCTCCCCACATAGGTGCTCCACATCTTGGCGCCCCACCCTTGGGAGCCCCATCAGGCGCCCAGTACAGGAGAGCTCCCCACGAGGGACCTCCAACTCCCCCTTCTCATGGTGGAGATCCTCTCTTCCAAGAGGACGAGGGTGAGAACCAGAGCATGGAACATGAAAGTCATTTCTAAGATAATTTCAAAAAAGCTCCCAACCATTGGGACGAAAAAATAAAAGAGGTGCAAAATCAACTAGGCAACATCTTCAATGCTATGAAGGCACAAGGACCCGAGACAGTGGACTACCTTGTTAAGCGAACCGACACACCCTTCATTCCTGACGTGGTGAATTACCCGCTTTCCCAGAAGTTCAAAATGCCATTCGTCGAAACCTTTGGTAGTATGAATGACCCACTTGATCACCTCGAAACCTACAAAACTCTAATACAGTTGCATAATATCCCCGAAGAGATCGTGTGTAGGGCATTCCCGACCACCTTGAAGAGATCCACCAGACAATGGTTCGCCAAGCTCTCCCAAGCTTCCATCGCCCCCTTTGCTGAGCTGAGCAAGTCTTTTGTGTCATACTTTATCAGAGGGCGCAGCCACCAGAATCTCGTCACCCACCTGCTCAGCATAAAGCAGGACCGAGACGAGAGCCTGAGGAGTTACCTCACTCGTTTTAACGAGGAGGTCCTCCAGGTTGAGGAGCCTGGTGACAAAGTAACTATGACCGCCTTCTTGGGAGGCCTCCGCTCGTCAAGCTTCCTCTTTTCAGTGATGAAGCGACCACTAAAATGCATGCCAGAAATATTGACAAAAGTTCAAAAATATATGAATGTTGAGGAAATCAACAGGTCTAGGCAAGGTGAATCATCTCGCGGATCGCCAAAAGTTTGACTTTTGTACTGTTATCAAACAGGTAGCCAACATCTCCAGCTTAGTGGCTCTCTCGCGAGTCGCCAAAAGCTTGGCCTCTGTACTGTTCTCAAACAGACAGTTTATATCTCAAGCTTAAGGACTCTCTCATGGGTCACCAAAAGCTCGATCTCAAAAGGTATAGCTCTATCACGAGCAGTCCTCAAACTCTGTCTTTGCTCTTGCGCAAATAGCCTACCTCTCTCTCCAGATAATCATGTTAAATATTTTGATGTTTAGAATAACATTATTTTTGCCATCTCTAGGCAGGATCTTGAAACTCAGATCATCTGTAACTCGAGGACTACGTTAAATTGAATGTCAACAATCGGGGCCTCATCTATCTGGCACTCAACACCTGGGATGCCTGGTCGGCGGCGCCAAGCACGCCAAGGAGTGCTTGACCCCCTCTGCTCGCCCAAGAGGGGCATTCCAGCGCCTGGAGGGGCATCTAACCCTCTGTGCTCGCCCAAAATGGCGCCTGCAAACCAAGACCAGTCCTCTTTCCTCCTCCTTGCTCAACTGGATTAGTGACTAAGGCATACCCATGCTCGCCCAAGATGTCCAGCGCAACAGGTTGCTAACCCAAGTGGCCCTGCACAGCGAGATGCTCGCCCAACTGATTCGCGCGCACAACAACGCCTAGGCGCCCCTTTTTGCTCGACCCATCAGCACGCACCACGCCTGGGCGCCCATAGGTGCACTCCCCAGAGTTGTTCCACTCGCCTAAGGGCTTCGCCTAGGCTGCCTCAGCCTGGGCGCTTTGCACCTGGGCCTCAGCGCCTGATCCTTGACCAGCAGAAGTGCATGCCAAACTACTTACACTAGTAGCCTACTCCAACTTCGGCGTCCCTATGTGGTCCACAGGCACGCCCAAGTCTCCCTTACTTGCCCCTACTGCGCGCCCAATAGTGCCCACCACTAGCTCATCGCTTAGATCAATGCCTAAATGGGTGAGAAGTTCCTCCCCCTCCTCTTCAGGCTTTCCACCAAGATCCACAAGCTCCTCTCCATTCGACATTGTTCAAAGCTTTCAACTTAAGAGCCTCACCTATGTGTTCTTGGAGGATTTTAAGAAAAGCTCTCCTTCTCACTCAAGATTATATTGAATGGGGCTCTTCAAAAAAGAAAAAAGAAAAAGGAAGTTTTCATAGCTAAAGGAGTCTACTGCAAGGGAGGGAGTTGACAATCAAAAGGAGTCTTCAAAAAAATCGGATTTAAAAAGGGTTGCACGCTATTTTGATCGTAACTCAAAATGGGACTTACTATATACCAAATCGAAGCTCTCGACGAGCTGAGCAAAACTCATTACAATTAGTAATGAGCTTTTTAAAAAAAGTCCGAAAAAGGCCTAGAAAGAGTTGTTTTGACCTCTCGAAGTTAAAAAAAAAAAATCAGGTGCTCGCTCAGGATGCTGCTAGCATGCCCAGAATGCTGTCTGCTCGCCCAAAAATGCGCGTGCAACTCCCTACTTGCAATTTCGACCGCAACTTTTACTTCGTAACTCAAAATGGGACTTATTATATACCAAATCGAAGCTCTTGACGTGGTGAGCAAAACTCATTTCCTTTGACAATGAGCTTTTCAAAAAAAGTCCAAAAAAATTTCAGAAACAGGTGTTTTGGCTTTTTGAAGCTTAGAAAAAAAAAAAATTCTGCTCGCCCAGAATAGTGCCCTGCTCGCCTGGAAGCTGTTGCTCTCCCAAACCGCTCGCCTAGCTTTCTACTCAAAGTTTGACTATAACTTTTGATCATTTGCTCGAAATGAGGCTTATAATATATCAAATCGAAGCTCTCAGTGAGCCTTACAAGACACATAGCCTTTGGCTGTGATTGATGCCGTTGAAAATTCAAAAAAAGCCTAAAAACACAAGTTCAGGCCTCCTGAAGTTTTTTCAGTTATGCCGGTCGTCCGAAAACTCAAATTCAGCCTGAAGGCCCTCCTTTCCAAGTTCCGTCACGCAGGGCATTGGGGGGAAAATGATGGTCCAGGCTCAAATGGCCCAATCCATGGGTAAAGCTCAAGCCTATAGAAGACCCAACAGGCCCTATGAGGGCCAAGACCAGTCAAGCTCATCAGGGAGCTGCACCACCAAAGGAGCATCTGGGAGCCTATCCCTCACGGCCTGGAGAGAGTCAACCTTTCCACATCCCTTGACTAAGTCCTTTGGAGTGCATCATAATTTCCTTGCTGGTTGAAGAAAGGAGAGGTCACCAAGGAGATGAGAGGTCGCCAAGCCACTTAATTACTCTTAAAGGCACCCGATCTTTTATGACCGTCATACTAGCCATCCAATTACTATGCGGACAACTATAAATTGTAAGCCCCACCAACACTTGGGGGGCATCAGACTCATTTGAGCATAATTCTCTCCTCCCCTCTCAAAGCTTATAATTTTGTGCTCTCCCTTCATACCAGAGATAATAAAATTCCGGCGACCCTTGCCATTCAAAGTGGACGTAGGTCATATTGACCGAACCACTATAAATCTTGTCTTCTCTCTCTATACTTTATTGCATTTTGTATTATTTAATTGACAGGTGGTGTGCAAACCAATTTTGTGCTTCATCAGTGTCTTTGTGCGTTTTGGTGCAGTTTAAGTGCCTGGGAGAGAAAATTATTTATAGAGTGTAATAACAAACATTTAGGAGCCTAATGACTAGCTGTACCTTTTCCTTTGTGTGCATGTCTTACATAGTTGCATATGACTCTTCAAACTCGTTATCTACAATCTTGAACTTTTTATTTAATCCATTCATAAATGTGATTAATCGGATCATTTTGTATCAAATTCATGTTATCTTTATGTCGTGTTTAGTCAGATCCATATCATGTTTAGATGAAGATGTGTTTACATCATTAATTTTCCATATATAGCAAGTCCACTTGTTTATCACCAAACTCAACTAAAATTAAACCAAAACCCGTTAACCTTAAATAGATTTCATATCGGTTTATGGGTTATGTCTAGAATTACTAGTGTTACTTTTGGCTTGATTCTTTATTCGTATTATTTACAGTGCATCCTTATTAAAATGACACATCTGCTTGTACAATCAACATTTAAAGACAATATCTAAGTATAATTTTCTTTAAGGTTTGCTTTGATTTGGTTTCATTTTAAAAGTTGAGCACCCAACTTAATGTGTTTTTCCCGTAGTTATTACTCATTTAAAATTTTTAAACTTTGTTATTTCACTACTTTTTGAATCAAAACTGCAGGTATGAATCGAAGTTTATCCAGAAAATTGTTGAGGAGGTTTTGTCTAAAGTGAACCATACATATCTAAATGTTACCAAGTATCCAGTTGGAATGGATTCTCGTGTTAGTGATATAAATTTGTTATTAGCCAATGGATCAAGTGATGTGCGTATAATTGGGATATATGGCATGGGTGGTATAGGCAAAACGACCCTCGCTAAAGCTATTTATAATCTAATTTTTCAGCAGTTTGAAAGTTCCAGTTTTCTTGCTAATGTTAGAGAAGCTTCTGAACAGCTAAATGGTCTTGTTCATTTACAAGAGCAACTTCTTTGTGAAATTCTAAAGAAGAAGGATATTAAGATTAGCAATATTGATAGAGGAATCAATTGGGTGAAAGAAAGATTGTGTTCTAAAAGAATTCTTATCGTTCTTGATGATGTGGATCAAATTAGCCAGTTAAATTCATTTGCAGGGAACCGTGATTGGTTTGGTTCAGGAAGTAGAATCATTATCACAACAAGAGACAAGCATTTGTTGAATGAAGTTAAAGCAGATGAAAAATACGAAGTTAAGGAATTGAACTGCAACGAGTCTCTAAACCTCTTCAGTTTGCATGCCTTTGGACAAACCACGCCATTAGACGATTATCTGGAGCTTTCACAGAGCATAATAAGGTACGCCGGAGGAATTCCATTAGCTCTTGAAGTTTTGGGTTCGTATTTGTTTGGAAGAACAAGGCCAGAATGGATAAGTGCATTTGAGAAATTAAAACATATTCCTCACAATCAAATTCAAAAAAAACTTAGAATAAGCTTTGATGCACTAGATGATGATAAAGTAAAAGAAATATTCCTTGATATTGCATGCTTCTTTATCGGAATGGATAAAGAATATGCAATTACCATACTGAATGGTTGTGGTTTCTTCTCAGAAATTGGAATTAGTGATCTAATTAATAGATGTTTACTAACAACCAATGAAAAAAATGAACTGTGGATGCACAATTTACTTCGGGATATGGGAAGGGAAATCGTTTGCGAAGAATCCCATAAAGAGCCTGGAAAGCGCAGTAGATTGTGGCATCATGAAGATGTATGTGATGTACTCAAAAAAGAAAAGGTAAGAAGGAATTACTACTCGCCTTTCTTTCACTCTAGATAGTTTTCCCATTGGAACATAAATTTTTTAGTTTAGGTTTATATAAATAGTTTGATTTAATTATAGACACACTTAACATGCTCTCTCTCTCTCTCTCTCTCTCCCCTCTTGCATATATCTATAAGTTGCAAATTACTTATCAAATATTTTGTTATTCCTTCACTAAAATCAGGGAACAGAAGTAGTTGAAGGTATTGTTCTAGTCCGTCCATTTTTAGAGGATGTAAATCTAAGGACTGAAGCATTTGTAAGGATGAAGAAATTGAGACTGCTTCAAATTAATTGCGTGCATCTTGCTGGAAGCTTTGAACATATATTTGGAGATTTAAGGTGGCTTTGCTGGCATTATTGCCCTTTGAAATATTTACCATCCAATTTTCATCTAGAAAATCTTGTTGCTCTAGACATGCAACATAGTAATATCAAACAACTTGGGTCAAGTATCAAGGTATTGAAATTTTTTCCCAACCTTGTTGTTTCTTTAATGTTGGAACAATTTGCATGGTTTGTCATGAAGGAAACTCTTATACAATCTTATTTTGCTTGGATGTCTCAGAGTTTGAAAAATCTGAAAGTCCTCAATCTTAGTCACTCTAAGTTCCTCACAAAAACCCCCGACTTCACCGGGGTATCAAGGCTGGAGACATTATTGTTTGAAAACTGTTCAACTTTGTTCGAGGTTCACCCATCAATTGGACTTTTGGATAGACTGACTTTTTTTAGTTTGAAAGATTGCGAGAACGTTTGTGATCTTCCGAGTAGCATTTGCAAGTTAAGATCACTTGGACATCTAAATATCACTGGCTGCTCAAATCTGAAGGAATTGCCTGAGCATTTGGGGAATATGCAATGCCTCACGGAGCTTCTTGCAGATGGAACTGCTATTATACAATTGCCCTTTTCATGCGGACTTCTGAAGAACCTTACTACCTTATCTCTACGAGGGTGTAACCAAAATTTACCATCCAAATCTTGGTTTTCTCTCATTTCATCTTGGGTATCACCAAGAAGACATCCTGATTCCATCAGATTTCTACCACCTTCTATTTCATGTTTGTGTTTCTTAAGAAAACTAAATGTGAGTGACTGCAATTTGTATGAAGGAGATATTCCAGCTGATCTCGGAAGTTTATGCTCACTGGAAATATTGGATTTAAAACAGAATAACTTCCGTGGCCTACCATTCAGCCTTTGTCACCTATCCAAGCTACACTATCTCGGTTTAGGTGGCTGCAAGAGTCTTCAATTACTCACAGAGCTTCCTCCAAATCTACGGTCACTATATGCTGATAATTGCACATCAATGGAGAAGCTACCAAATCTATCAAACTACAAAAGATTGGTATCCTTGGTTCTTTCTGATTGCCGTAGATTATTTGAGATTGAGGGACTGAAGGACCTTAATTCTTTGCGAATGATTTGCCTGGATAGCTGCACCAATCTGGCAAATGCTTTCAAGGATAGTTTTTTTAAGGTTGGTCTCTCTAGTTTTTTTAAGGGAGGTCTCACTCTCTCTCTCTCTCTCTCTCTCTCTCTCTCTCTCTAATGTCACAATTTCCATATAACAGGGATATTCTGAACATAATGGCCCCGAGATTTTCCTTCCAAGTGGGGAGATTCCTGATTGGTTTAGCTATCGAATGATGGGATCTTCAATATTTTTCGATATGCCATTAGATGTGGAGCATAAGTTCTTTGGGATGACTCTTTGGGCTGTTTTTGCAGCCAGAGAAGAAGGTAAATTCACCGCTGCCCCTTATGCTATCATCTACGACAAAACCAATGGTGGCGAATGGACCAATCTGCCGAACATTTATCACGTTCGAATAACCAGGCAAGAGAATTCTAGGGTGAGCTATGTACCGAAAAGTTATTTGAAATACCCAATAAAAGGTGGGGAAAGAATTGAGGTTTGCTTCAAAACATGCTTATTTCTAGAGGTGAAGAAGTGTGGTGTTCATCTAATATACAATCCAGATATTCAAGAACATAATGAGGGACAATCGTTATACACCGACGAGGACGTTGGCACACATGAATTTCTTGGTTACGTAAATGGTAAGAGAAGCCGTAACATTGATGGAGCTGAAACAAGCAGCAACTTGGAAGACAGATGCAGTAAAAGGTTGAGGATGGAGCCTGATTCAACATGAAGGCTGCCCAGCCGACACAGTTTGCCCAGGTACCATTCTGAAAAGGAATAGTTATCTTGGTATTTTTTGTGGGTTGTGACATGTGATTATTTTGGTTGGAATGGTTTTTTATCTTCCATATTCATAAGAAAAATAGTTGTTTTTTTTTTTTTTTGTATCTTGCTTGATTATACAGATTTAAGTGAGAGTTTTGGGTAATTTTTTGGGTTTTGTCTGAGGTATAAATATTTTGTTAATATCTATGTATTCGTATCTGATATAATACTCGTCGTATATTGAGGATACATATCATATATACCATATGTATCTGATAATAATAAAAGATTTCGATAATTCACTGACATGTACCCAAAATACTTATAATTCAGGTATAAAAGTGCATCGCATTGTAATATGTATAATTTTTATTTTTATTATTTATCTTTTTCTATTGAGTTCACATAAAATGCAAAACATAAATTAATAAATAAAATTATACGACTTTGAAGGTATATGCCTATTTTTCAAATATTATCTACTATCACATAGGTATGCAACTTGGTTGGGCTAATCTGAATCCAACTCGAAAAAATCATTGTGTGGGTTGAGTTTTTTAAAATTTGAGTTGAACTTGGGCAAAAAATCTCAACCCGAATTGAATTCGGGTTAAGCTCAAGTTGATACTTCGGGTTCATCACAAGCTCCGACTGAATTACTAAAAATTGGGTTTGAAATATTAAAAAATAATGTGTGTAATTTCAGCATTTAAAATATAACTATATTTATACTGCTTCTAAAAGGCTACTTATCCAAAAAATATTTTTCTGCCATGATTTCCTATATCTATACTAATCTATATCTATCTATACTACTCCTAAAAGCCCTTTAACCCCAAAAAAACCTTTTAATTTCCTTTTGACCCTCCATCTATACTATAATCACGATATAGTCACTTTGCAATTGATAAACGTTTCACTCAACAGTCTCAACTTTTTTGCTTCTTTGCCTCCCTATATCCCTTGAAACCACTGCTCTTTTGCTTTCTCTAATTCCTAAACTACATTGCTTAGTTTCCTAACCAAGCTCACAATGTCTAATGTCATGAATTAGAAATGTCACTCTAAAGCTCTCACGTCTCCCTCAGGTATTTTATACTTTGTCTTTTTTCTCACCTCTTTTTTCTTTCTTGCACACACACGAAACGTATGTTTTGGGTTACAATACCAATGTCACGGTTGCATTGGTATTGATTCAACAACACTTTTTATTGTTTCATCTATATGAAATTTCTATATTTTTGTTGGATTTTCTATTTTTCTTCTTCCTGGAATACATTTCTTTTACTGTTAGGTTTGTTGGGAAATCAACCCTTGCCTTCACGATATGTATAACCTAAGCTCTTTATCTGAAATCAGCAAGTTTGTTAAATCATCTCTTAATGATTGACACCCTCACTCTCTTTTAATTCACACACAGTTTTGTTGGGTAATGATTGAAATTTGGTGAATGTTTCGTTGGCTATTGTTTCTGTTGGTAAATTGATTTAACTATTTGTTTGAAAATTAATTAGGATGCACTGAATTTGGGGTTGTGTGTGTATTTGCAGATGTGCCTATCCGTGTCTTAGGGAATGAGAGCCTCAATTTTTGTGTCATTGTGCGAATGTGTTTGTATGTAGGTAATTCAACTATGGATGTTTCTTTGTGTGAATTACTGTATATGGTTATTGGGGTGCTTAAATTTTTTTCCCATGTATAGTTAGTTGGAATCTCTCCTCTTTGGTAGCTCAGATTTGAAATATACTATAATAAGAAGAAGTACATAAAAATTAAGTACATGACTTTAGCCCACCAGCCTTATGTTTTCAGGAATTGTTTGGTGCATGATTCACCTTCTTTGAATATTAATGGAGCTTCTATTTTCTGTCTTCTCAATTTGTGAAACTAAATCTTTGATTTGATACAGTTGTTTCTGTGGTTTTCTAAATCAAACGAAACAGCATGATTTCTTTATTATGTCATTTGGTACACTTAATGAGTGTTGCTGGTCTCATTTATTTTCTCCGCCCGTCACATAATAAACAAAGTAGCTATGCACACAACAAAATTTTATTCGAAGATTATGTATACTTGATCAAATAGTTGGGAAGATTTGTGACGTTATATTGAAGAATTTGTTTTATTTGGATCATGGTGATATTCTAAAAGAAGGCCCTAGCTGTGTCATCAAGTAGATCTCATGAACCAAATAGTTTTCCTTGGTTATCTCTACACTTTCCTATCTATGCTTTTGCTGTCAACCGCATCCCTATCCTATGCAGCTATACCATCAATCTCTCTCTCTTGATCCTTGCTACTTCTAATTCTTTGGTATGAATAGTTCGATTTATGTTCAAACTTTACAATGTGTGTAATAGTATAAGGGTATTTTCATTAACATTTTTGAGTATGTCCCTTTATTTATTCTCTTTCGAGGTTCTAAAATCTTCAATTTTGTATTATTAAACCAAATAGTAATTTATTCCAATAGTTATAAAATTAATCGTTGTATTTTATCTTTTCTTTTGCTCAATGCGAGGTGTGGGCCCATCTCTTCATTCGCATGAATTAATCATCAATAAAATTGTTCCATTGCAACACAAAAGACCGATATTAGTTTGTTGTAACATGATAGACAACTTGAATTTCTATATATTTTGACCAACTTGAATCACTAATTATTGACCCAAATAGTCGAGCTTTTGCGTTGGCAAATTTGTAAATGCCAAAGTGTCTGATTCGCTATTGTTTTTCGCATCGACAAACACATTTGCACCAGCAAAATAATTATGTCTGCGTCACAAATTCTTTTCTACCCCTGGTTTGCTAATGAAAATAAAAAAAAGTGAATTCGTGTAGTGATACTGGCTCTAAATTTGTGTTTCAGAGTTTTGTCTATCCAATATACTCTCTTTCTAATATATCTATTTTGCTTGAAGTTCGTCATGTTGATAATACCACATATTTGGATTTGTACTTTGTTTTTGCCCCCGCAATTTAATTATTTACTTGCATCTTATTGTTTCTTTGCGAAATTAAATATTTTTTCCTCTCCAAGGCAGGTTTTTTTGTCCTTTTCTTATCCCTATTTTTCCTAGTACTTGGAGCTTTTTGTATGATAGGAACTGCATAGAAGGTGCTTAAAAATTAAAATCTAAATTAACAAAGAAAAAGCAATCAAAGAAGCAACATAAGTTATTTTAGGACTATAATTTTCCTTATAGATTTTTACTGAGTTACACTTAATCCCCTCCCACTTGTAAATAAACTCTAAATTGTAACAGAGGTAAAATGCCTAAAATAACCTCAGATTTTTGTTCTAATTTTCTTTGTGATGTCATCCTTTGAATAACTTCATATTAATCAAATAAAATAAAATAAAAACTTGGTTGCAGACACTCCCCTCTGCCATTCAGGGGTGCAACTTGGGTTGGACAATTTGATTTCAACTCGAACCCAACTTGAAAAAATTATGACTTGGGCAAGGTTTTTAATACTTGGGTTGCGCTTGGTTAAAAAATCTCAACCCGAATTCAATTTGGTTTGGACTCGAGTTAATGCCCCGGGTTTACGAGTTTAATCTGAATTTGACAAATAAAAAAAAAATAGATATATATATATATAAAGTATTAGAAATGATTTTTTATTTTTGTTCTATCGTTCTCTGTCTCTCTCGTTCATTTTTATTTTTGTTCTAGCATTAGCACTGTTAAAAACTTGGTTGAAATTATTGGTTGTTAATTTAGGGGAATATTATATTATATAATATATGTATTAGGTTTATAATAACAAGATTATTTTGGGTTTTACCCGAACTCAACCTGAATTGAACCTGTAAAATAACCCGAGCCCGCTAGAATTAAACTCGGGCAGTGTTCTCAATCCGAGGTAGGGTTAGGGTTGAAAATTATATACCTAGGGTTGGGTTAGAGTTGACTGTCCAACCCACCTTGGTTGGACCCCTGGCCATTCCTCTCTGTTTTGATTTGTTACTCAATGCTCTTGAAATTTTCATTTACGGCAACCACATTCTAAGCAGCCAACCCCCCACAAAACTTCTCCACAATTCTTTAGTAAAACATCACGCCAATAGTCACTTATCATCCCTACCACAAAATCAAGACCACAAGATTACCTCATATATAGTCCCATAGTATAGTAAATAGAGAGAGAACTCAATTCAAATTGGCTCCCTTGACCTTTTTTATTTACAAGTTAGAGAGGGTTAAGTATAACTCGTAAAAGTCTAGAGTGGTGATGTACCATTGACCTTAAGTTCGAGGGAATCCTATATAATTTATCATTTTCCTTTTAATTGGTAATCATTTAACCCATGGAAATGAATTAATTTTCATGTAATTTCATTGTTATTCCTTATCTTGTGAAATTTTTGTCTTCTTGAGGTTAAGGGTTTAAGTCATCTTTCCCTCTCCCCCTCCCAAAAAAAAAAAAATGTCAAGAACTTCAACAGGTTTATATCACTTCAACACTTTGATAAGATTTATCAATGGGAAAATAGTGCCTAAAGAACAAGAGACGAGTTCACAAATGTTATAGACGAGTACACCTTAAGGACATACTCGCAGAATTACAAGGTGCACGAACACACTTTGTAGTATACCTTAATTGTTATAGACGAGTTCACAAATGTTTTTATTTTGTACTTGTTCCTAGCAACTTATTTACACTGTGTTTTTTTTTTTGGGGGGGGGGGGGGGGGGGTGGTATTCAAATATGGGGTACATGCATGTGTGTGCATTCATTGTGTAGATTTGATAATTTGATATAGATGGATAGGGTGTTCATGGGTTGGGTTACCTATGGGTTCTATTATTCGGTCCAAAAAAAATAGGTTTAAAACTCGATAGACCAAATAGTTGGCCTGCCCAAGTCCAAACCCAATATCTTTAAAAAAAGGGTTTGGGTATGATACAAAACCCATTACCTAGGTTGAAATCTGGTCCAATAGCCCGCCTGAAAAAACCCGTTAAAACTTGACCCAAGAGTCCGCCCGCCAAGCTTAGCCCGCCTACCCTTCCTTTGAAAAAAAGATATATTTTTAGACTATTAAATTTGAAACTTTAAAATAACTCTCCCAATGTCATCAGAATTTGAAGTTTTAAAAATTTAGATACTATAAATAATATATTATTTTATATTTCATGTAATAAGCATGTAAGTTTTAAAAGGTAGAATAATGCAAATGATAGATAAGTGAGTAGTTGTTGACCTAGTTGGGATGTATTCACTACAAGAAATTTTAATCTACCGGGCTGTACCAATGAACTCCTGTATACACAACCGTTGCTGGATGTACCTTATTCAGGTAATTCACAAGGACTGTTCTAAAAAAAAAAAAAAGATAATTCACAAGGCATAGCATCAGAAATCAAGAGGTTGCAGCTTTGTAAAGTCTGGTAATCTGGATCTGTGGTAGCGCTGCAGCCCTTAGATTTCAAGCATAAGGAATGAAAGAATTAATTGAACGGAAAGGAAAACCGGTGGACACCAATACATAAGAATAACCAAACATGTCCGGCCAATCTTCATTGACTTTCAAAAACGTTTATCAAACAAACACACAATCAAAGAAAACATAAAAGACTCGGCGGGTGAGTCGCAACAGCCTATTTTCCAGTAAAGGAAATAAGCACAAAGAGCTTTCAAATGTATTTTATATGCTATTGTAGTATATTATACTCTAAACAAAACCAGAAGTGAACTGAAATTTTTTTGCAGCAAGTCATCAGAACTAAAGCATCGTCGCTAAACAGTGCCTTCTTAACAAAACCACAAGAAGAAGGCAACCACTCCTAATGTCCCAAGTCTCGTAGGGTACTAGTCTACTAGACTATGTAACAGGTTTTAGCAACTGATGAAAATACTCGGCCTGTAAAATATATAAGAAGCCATGAGAACTAAACATTAAAAAATAATGAAAAAAGTACAATTCAGTTAAGAGTAATAAGGCATAAAAAAGTATTGCTAGGAACATAGATTTGTTAACACATGTACTCGCATCTACCTATTGACACGCTTATTCACTAAAATGATATACACTGGCAAAATAAAAATACAATTTAGTGACTGAAAATAAGGCATATTTGCTGCAAGTAAAAGATGCTATCATAGAGGAGCTTATACTAGCACATAAGGGCCTCCTCACTATGACTTTGTAATATGTTGTTCTTATTTGAAGTTTTTAATTGTAATTAAGCATGTATCACTGAGAGTAGAAGGCAAGTCAAAAAAATCAATTCGACTTGTTAACACGTATAAAAGACCAAAAATATAATTAAAAAACAATTCCATATCTTATTTTCTAACTTCTTAGGTTCTAGTATGAACTGATCTTTTTGTCAATGTTATCATAACCGGATCGATCATCAAACCAGTAAGGGAATCGGGTTAATGGTTCACTAGTTCGACCGTTGAGTCAGTTGGTCAGACCGGCCGTATAATAAAAAAATCTATAAAAATTATAAAAAAAAAATAATTTAGGTAAAAAATATAAAATATGTCTATAATGCATACAATTTACCATAAAATTAATGAAGTCAAATATCAAATCAATATTCATAAAATTCACAATGCCAATCTCAATAAAATTCAGTCTCAATCACATCAAAATTCGCAATTTCAAATGAAAATTACCACAAATCATTATTATCTAATAACTCAAAAAATGGCATATATTGAGAATACGTACACTGTATATAAGACTTAATGCTCATCGCTTGGACTGAGTTGAAGACAGAGAGAGGGAGCGCGAGGGAGAGAGAGTGGGCTTCCTGTTCATTGCCTGGAATGGCGAAGGAGATCGAAGTCTGAGGGCCCTCGCTCATCGCCTAGAGAAGGAAGAAGAAGACTGGAACTAGACTCTTGGGCCTTGGAAGTTGAAGAAGAGAGGCTGAGTGAAAGAGTTCGAGTTGAAGCAGACTAGCAAAGAGATGTTCGTCGTTGAAGCAAAGATCGAGTTGAAGACGAAGATGAACCAAATGAGGCATGTACTCCTGTTCGTTGAAGCAGATGAGCCCTCTTGTTCCTTGAAGTAGATGAGGAAGATAAAGACCTTTAGTCTAGAACAGTGGGAGTGGAGACTCAGACGAAGGAAGAAAGGAAATTGCAAATGAAGAAATGGGATTTAGGGCAAAAATGCCCAAAACATATATATATATTTAACAATTGCAATCCAACCGTTTGGTTTGAACAAACTATTTCGTTCATTGGTTTTAGCAAAAATCAGCTGGTTTAACAGTTAACTTGTCTAGGCGGTTCAACTCAAGAATCGGATCGGTTGAAGCCTGATTCACGGTCCAATCAGTTAAACTAGCCGGTCTAGTCCGATTTTGATAACACTATTGTTTGTCGGCAACTGATAAACTTTCTGTCAAATTTGCATACATATTAGGCCAAAAAAGTTATGCATACATTCAGGGACAGAACGACACTAATCCCAATCAGCAGTTCATATGTCAATGACATCAAAATAGTTTAAACATATTTTGTCCCATTTCTGCAAAGTTTTCAAATGTTTGGGCAAAAATTTAGGACTCCCAAAAAGTAGCAGCATTCTTCCAGATTGAAAGCAGACTTCTTAACTGATTTCATCAAAAGAGTCGTATGTTTAGCTAATTTACCCAAAACAATTAGGCAAATGGTAAAAGAATCTGGATGTTGTTAGAGGGACAGTTAAGCATATATCTACCTTTGGACTATATTGACTACCTTGATCTTTGAAAGTTAACGTCATCAACATACACTAGCAGTATGTCTTTTCAAAGTTTAAGCCAAATTTGGACAAAATTTTATCGAATTTGTAAAAATTATAATTACAAGCAAATAAAGAATGAAACATCTAACTGAAATCTAAAGCTAACTACAGTTAGGATCAAAATCTAAGACAATGATTAAGGGGTTAGAGCATTATTTGTGTGTGTGCGCGATCCTGCACAATATA